AAGAAAATCTAGGCAAAACCATTCAGGACGTAGGCGTAGGCAAAGACTTCATGACCAAAACATCAAAAGCATTGACAACAAAAGCCAAAATAGACAAATGGGACCTAATCAAACTCCACAGCTTCTGCACAGCAAGAGAAACAATCATTAGAGTGAATCAGCAACCAACAGATTAGGAAAAAATTTTTGCAGTTTACCCATCTGACAAAGGGCTGATATCCAAAATTTACAAAGAACTAAAACAGATTTACAAGAAAAAAACTAACAAGCCCATTCAAAAGTGGGCAAAGGATATGAACAGACATTTTACAAAAGAAGACATACGTGAGGCCAACAAACATATGAAAAAATGCTCATCATCACTGGTCATCAGAGAAATGCAAATCAAAACTACATTGAGATACCATCTCACGCCAGTTAGAATGGCGGTCATTAAAAAATCTGGAGACAACAGATGCTGGAGAGGATGTGGAGAAATGGGAATACTTTTACACTGTTGGTGGGAGTGTAAATTAGTTCAAACATTGTGGAAGACAGTGTGGCGATTCCTAAACGACCTAGAAATAGAAATTCCATTTGACCCTGCAATCCCATTACTGGGTATAATTCCAAAGGATTACAAATCGTTCTACTATAAGGACACGTCCACACGAATGTTCATTGCAGCACTGTTTACAATAGCAAAGACCTGGAACCAAACCAAATGCCCAACGACGATAGACTGGATAGGGAAAATGTGGCACATATACACCATGGAATATTATGCAGCCATCAAAAACGATGAGTTTGGGTCCTTTTTAGGGACATGGATGAACCTAGAAACCATCATTCTCAGCAACTGACAGAAGAGCAGAGGATCAAACATCGCATGTTCTCACTCATAGGCGGGTGTTGAACAATGAGAACACATGGACACAGGGAGGGGAGCACTACACACTGGGGTCAGTTTGGGGGAAATAGGGGAGGGACAGTGGGGGTTGGGAAGCTGGGGAGAGATAGCAAGGGGAGAAATGCCAGATGTAGGTGATGGGGAGGAAGGCAGCAGATCACACTGCCACATGTGTTCCTATGCAACAATTTTGCATGTTCTTCACATGTACCCCAAAACCTATAATGCAATAAAATAAATAAATGGGAAAAAGAAAGAAAAAAAGAAAACACACACACACACAAACAAACCACCAAAGAAAACCAATGAAGGTGTTTAACTCAATGTGTCACGCTCGAGTCTCTTGACTGGATACATCCATCGGGCATGGGTGGAGAAGGGAGAAGGGGGGGAAGAGAGAGAGAGAGAAACAGAGAGAGAAACAGAGAGACAGAGATACAGAGCGTAACAGAGAGAGAGAGAGAGACACAGAGAGTAACAGAGAGAGAGAGAGAAACAGAGAGAGACACAGAGCATAACAGAGGGAGAGAGACACAGAGAGTAAGAGAGAGAGAGAGAGAGGGAGAGATGTTATATCCGAGTGAGATAAGGAATACACCACCACACTCTGAAATTGAATTATGAGTCCTTTATTTTAGCCAGCGACAGAGAGGTGGCTGTCGCCCAAAATTCTCTCAGCCCCGAAGAAAGAGTTAGGGGGTTTTTAGACGCTAGTTTGAAAAGAGAGGGAGGAAACCTAGCTGTGGCAAATTTTTCACAAAAGCACAGTAAGCAAAAAGTTAAAAGATAAACTAGTGCATGAGAAATAAAACAGTACCAGGAGCAAGGGCCAGAGCTGCCATAAAAAGACACACAACTTATAGATATGAGGGCTCTGGGTACTCGACAGCACCTGCAGTCCCAGGCTCTGCTGGTGCCACTTTACTCGGCCTCTTATCAGCAAATGCACTCAGGGATGCGCCCGCAGTTGTCCTGCCCCACCTGCATTCTACAGTTGCATACTTAATGAGGGGAATGAATAACTAAAATGAAGAAGCTAAGATGGAGTCTGTCTGGCTCAAGAAGCTAACACAAGGCCCGACCAACACTTAGCTAAGAAAGAGAGAGTCAGTTTTGCCAGGCGCGGTGGTTCGCGCCTGTAATCCCAGCACTTTGGGAGGCCCAAGTGGGCGGATCACCTGATGTCAGGAGTTTGACACAAGCCTGGCCAACATGGTGAAACCCCCTCTCTAAAAAAAAAAAGAAAGAAAGAAAGAAAAAAAGAGAGAGAGAGTCAGCTTAAGACAACAAAAATCAGATTATGAGAGAGAGAGAGAGAGAGAGGTGGGGGGAGGGAGGGAGGTGAACAGGAATGTTGTCAGCAGGCTCAGGCCTCATAGCCAAAAAGCTGAAACCACCATCTGGGATGTTTTCCCAAGAGCCAGTGGTGCCACAAGGGGCCGTGTGTAGTTGTGGAAATGGAGAGGAGTGTTTGGAGTTACTTATTTGAGACAGAACGGACAGGGCTCGGTCACGAGTCATTTAGGACACGGGGAGATACAGACTGAGAAAACCCTCCCAGCATCCTAGCTGAACAGAGGTACACGTTTTATCGAGACAGTACATCTGGGTCACAACCGAGTCAACGGAGAAGCAAACCCAGGTTTTAGGGTTGGATTTTTTTTCTCACTCTCTCTTCAGAGGGAGTCTCACTGTGTCCACCAGGCTGGAGTGCAGTGGTACGATCTCGGCTCACTCACTGCAACCTCCGACTCCCGGGTTCAAGTGAATCTCCCGAGTAGATGGGATTACAGGCGCGCACCACCACGCCCGGCTAATTGTTGTCTTTTCTGTAGAGACCGGGTTTCACCATGTTGGCCCGGATGGTCTCAAAGTCCTGCCCTCAGGTGATCCGCCCACCTCGGCCTCCCAAAGTGCTGCAATGACGGGCATGAGCCAGCGTGCCAGGCCTGAATCTTTATTAATGTGTAACATGTATGAGGTCTCCAAGTCCAGAAATCAACTCGCCACTTCTGTACAGGATTCTGTATGGAGATCAAATCTGGGATTCCTGAAGAAAAGAATTGAGGCCTTGGGAATGGATTAGATTAGATCTACCTGAGCTTATATTAAAAAGAAAAAGAGGGAGAGGGAGACGGAGGGGGGAGGGGGGGGGAGAGAGAGAGAGAGAGAGAGAGAGAGAGAGAGAGAGAGAGAGAGAGAGAGAGAGAGAAAAGAGAAGAGAGAAGAGAGAAGAGAGAAGAGAGAAGAGAGAGAGAAGAGAGAAGAGAGAAGAAGAAGAAGAAGCCCTCATGACTTTCTAGAAAATAAGACCTTATGACTTTTGCATCCGTTGGCGACTCTAGGTAGTTTGCTGGGCCTGGTTCTGCGGACTTGCTTCTGTTTACTTTTGCACTCCAGGCCACGATGACGCAGTATCAGACCTGGGAGGAGTTCAGCCATGCTGCCTGCTGAGAGAGAAGCTTTACCTCGCTGACCCTATGAAGACACGTGTGGTTCTCAAATACAGGCATTCCGATGGAAACTTGTGTATTAAAGTAACAGACGATCGAGTTAGTTTGGTGTCTAAAACAGAGCAAGCTCAACATGTAAGGAAGATCCGAGAAATTCTACAGTCAACTAATGCGACTGATGGTAGCCAAGGAATCCCCGCAGTGTTACCGTGGAAACTGAGTGAATGGTCTGAAATGAAGACTTTGTCATGTGCTTAGGAAGTAAATATCTTTTGAAGTAGAGAAAGTGTTGGGACAGAAAATACTTTATGTCACTAAGTGGACTATTCAGAAGCTTAGAGGTCATTTTTCGTAATTTTCTTTTGAATGTTTGCTTTAGAGAGCTAGGAATGCGAATGTTTTCAGTCAGAAAGCCTGTATTTACTTTTGGAAACTGAACAAGCAATGCATCTGTCTCGGGAACTTTGCAGATTATTTGATGTTAGGTAAAACGCATAATTGTTTCTTTGGCAGATTTCTATCAGTACCTTGAAAATGAGATATTAAGAAAAGACAATTCTTCCTTAAATTAAGTTCGCCTGTCTTTAAAAGAACTTTAAATGTAACCATTTTGTTGGATCGAGGTATTTCTTTTGGAGCATAAAATGTATGCTGTCGATGACCAATAAATATAAAATATGGTCATTGGAATTAACTCCGCACCATCGTATGCATTGTTACGAATACCGTGCAGCTGATTATATATAGTAGTGTAGCCTCAATTATATCTAAAAGTGATTGAGTAACCAGTATGCTTTGCCTTCTTTCCATACTTAAACTACCTTTTATTATAGGGGATTGGTAGTATCAGCTTGTTGAGCAATGAATTTGAATCTAGTTTTCAGTGATCAGAAGCAGCAGTTATTTGAGTGCGTGAATGGAATGATGATCACTATAAATGTACCGAAACCACCATATTACAGGAATTTTTAGTACGTATTTTTCTTTTTTTCTTTCTTTCTTTCTTTTTTTTTTTTTTTTTGAGACGGAGTTTCGCTCTTGTTACCCAGGCTGGAGTGAAATGGCGCGATCTCGGCTCACCGCAAACTCCGCCTCCCGGGTTCAGGCAATTCTCCTGCCTCAGCCTCCTGAGTAGCTGGGATCACAGGCATGCGCCACCATGCCCAGCTAATTTTTTGTAGATTTAGTAGAGACGGGGTTTCACCATGTTGACCAGGATGGTCTCGATCTCTTGACCTCGCGATCCCCCCGCCTCGGCCTCCCAAAGTGCTGGGATTAGAGGCGTGAGCCACCGCACCCGGCTAGTACGTATTTTTCATCTGTAGTTTCTCAGAAGGGCTGTAGGTTATTCGAACTTTCAAATCGTTGCATACTTCTGTGATACCCCTGTCCGTCTTCTCTCTTTCTTTTGCCAAAGTGTTAGGTGTGACTGTCACAACTGTTACATTTTCCAGTAAACCGGAAGTATGATATTATTTGACACTTATGTTTGTATCCTAAATTTCACCACCTATCTAAACGTCATGTTCACTTGTTGATTTCTCAAGAATGAAATGAAGGTAGTACGTTGAAACATATTTTGTAGAAACTTGTCATATTGAGCAACATTTTAGCACGGTAAGTTCCCTTAGCTATATGAATTTTTGCATGTTTCAGAGAGATCAGTAAATAAAATACCACAAAAAAGAAGGAGAAGGAGAAGGAGAAGAAAGAAGATGGAGGGGGAGGGGAAGGGGAAGAAGAAGAAGAAGAAGAAGCAGAAGCAGAAGCAGAAGCAGAAGCAGAAGCAGAAGCAGTAGCAGAAGGAGAAGGAGAAGGAGAAGGAGAAGGAGAAGAAAGAAGAAGACCTTATTGTTGCACCCGAGCGAGTCAAAGAATGCACCACATTCTGAGATTGAATTATGAGTCCTTTATCATGCCAGCGACCGAGAGGTGGCTGACGCCCAAAATTATCTCAGCCCCCGAGAAAACGTTAGGTGGTCTTTTATACCTAGTTTTTAAAAGGTAGGGGGAACTTGGCTGAAGCAAAGTTTTCACAAGAGCAGAGTAAGCAAAAAGTTAAAAGATAAACTAGTACATGAGAAATAAAACAGTGCCAGGTGCGAGGGGTAAAGACATCACCAAAGACATACAACTTATATAGGTAATGGGGGCTCTGGGCACCGGACAGCACCTGCCTGCATTCCCAGGCTTTGCTGGTACCACTTAACTAGGCCTCTTATCAACAAATGCATTCCGGGAGGTGCCCAGTGTCAGCCCGCCCCAGCTACATACTCTGGTGACACACTGAACGGTGGGAAAGTAACTAAAATGTAGAAGCTAAGATGGAGTCTGTCCAGCTCAGGAAGCTAACATAAAGCCTGAACAGCTTTTAGTCTGAGAAAGAGAGAGTTAGCTTTAACTGGCAAAAAGCAGGTTCTCACATTGTGAAGCACAGCTGACATCAACTGGCTGTCACTCTACGTCGAGAAATCCACAAAAGCGCTAGTCTACGACAGGAGAAAAACAGCAGCTAACACGTCCTGGGGAAAAGATACGCCATCCTAGAATTCCGTGCCAAGGAAGGCATCACCTACGGTAATCTTAAGGGAGCAAAGTATTACTTTTTAGACAGCATTTCTATTTTGGGCAAATACTACTACGGCCCATGGTGGAGCCATGATGCCCTTCCCATTTTTGCAAATACGCTGGCCGGAGGAAGGAGAAAATAAGGCATCATGATAAAAGGTGATTGAGACCCAGCCAAGATGAAGCTTTCCTACGGAGGGAGGGAGGGAGGGAGGGAGGGAGGGAGGGAGGGAGGCAGGCCTGAGGAGTGAAGGGGTGAAAAAACCCCACCACTACAGTCCAGCCCGCCCACCCGCTTATCCACGGGGACCAAAGTCTGTGCCATCGCCCCCAGCTGCCTCTGGGGAAGTGTGACCGTGCCCCACCCCCACCCCCACCCCCCATCTTCAAAAACAGCGGCCCCCGAGTGAGGTGAAGACTGGCGATCACCGATGCAAATGTCAACCGCCAAAGGGTGGGGGGAGGGGAGAGAAGAGGGAGGCCCACCCGGCTGGCTCCAGAACGTTTCCACGCGGTGTTGGGGGGGAACCCAGCTCACAAACTCACTGAATTAGAGCAAAGGTGTGGTGGAGGGGGCTTAAAATATAAACCAACTCCTCATAAAGCCCAAGTAGAAGAGCCTACGTGCATGAAAGACACCAACAAACAAACAAAGAAACAGAAAGTACTGATAAAAGAACAATAGGGCCCCCAGCAGGGTGGAGGTTCCCTAGGCAACAAGGGAGAGAGGGAGGGGCCTCCAGATGCGAGGAAGCGAAATCGGTTGCCCCAGGCTCTGTGAAGTGGTCGGGCAGACCTCCCGCCGCG